CGTGGAGGTGGATCTGGAAACTTCATGGGTCGTGGAGGAAACTTTGGAGGTGGTGGAGGTAATTTTGGTCGTGGTGGAAACTTTGGTGGAAGAGGTAAGGCACTCATTTGAAGTATTAATTCATAAATTTACTAGCAAGTTGAAGTACTAGTAAGTTTTAATTCAAACTTTGGTTTTCCTCAGGAGGCTATGGTGGTGGAGGTGGTGGCAGCAGAGGTAGTTATGGAGGTGGTGATGGTGGATATAATGGATTTGGAGGTGATGGTAAGTATTTAAATACTGAATTTTGGTCTTTAATTTCTGCATTGCTAGAAATCAGACACATGGCCTCATACTAGGCAGTAAAACTTAAATACAGATACGGTAGGTGACATTTGGTTGTTTAACAACCACATTAAAACTGTCACATCTTCCAATCCTAAAACTTTGAATGGATTGATGAAATAATAGTTCCTAACTAGTACTACATAATTCAAATCCTCTTTCCAAGGATAGAAGTAAAATATTAACTAGACCTCTTCAGTCAGTAAGATTTATTTGGACCAGCAGCTGAGCTAAAGTTGCTTTGTGTAGTTGGGCGGATGGTGGCACATGCCTTTAATCCCAGCACTTTCGAGGCAGAGACAGGCAGATTTCTTGTGAGTTTGACGCCAGCCTAATCTACAGAGTGGGTTCCAGGACAGGCTCCAATGCTACACAGGGAAACTGTCTCAGAAGAAGCCAAAAAGAAAAAAATTGCTTTGTGTAAGGCTATATTGTCCTTAGTGAAAAATGGAGCAGGGGGAGACCATTGAGACAGGGTTTCTCTGTGTAACTTGGTTCCTTTTCTGGAATTCACTCTGTAGACCAGGCTGGCCTTGAACTCGCAGAGATCTGCTTGCCTCTGCCTCCTGAGTGCTGGGATTAAAGGTGTGCGCCGCCCCACCCCCACCCCGGCTGAATTTTTTTTTTTTAATGAAAACTTTTTGAAAAAAAATACTCATCTTAAGATTTTAGCTATTGGGGCTGGGTGGGGATTTAGCTCAGTGGTAGAGCGCTTACCCTGGGTTCAGTCCTCAGCACCGGGGTGGGGGTGGGGGTGGGGTGGGGGGGTGGTGGATTTTAGCTATGGAGATTTGCTTGGCTCTGATTAGATTGGAGAGTATTAAATGGTTCACTGGTTTATTGCCAGTGACAGTGCAGTATAAACCAGAAGTATTTGGGCCTGCCCTGTACTTGTTTCTGTATGGCTTTCTTTTCAGGTGGCAACTATGGTGGTGGTCCTGGTTACAGTAGTAGAGGAGGCTATGGTGGTGGTGGACCAGGATATGGAAACCAAGGTGGTGGATATGGTGG